CCATATGTTTATGCGTGTAAAAGCGCAGTTTACAGAATTTGTTTATTTACATTTCACACAACACAAGTCACGCAAATCAAATTTGTACACCAATAAAAAGTTAATAATTAATAAATCTCTATGAGCAATGGCAATAAATTATAAATGAGTTCATGGGCAGGATATATAATATGTATGTATGTGTAATAAAAATATTAACAAATACAAATCTAAGCAACTTTTGTCGGAAATATGAAATTTAGGGTTATATTTCAAGTGGTAGACAATTAACGTATAAAAACAAGAAAACCCGTTAGCTTCGGCTGCACCTACCCTTCACAGTTGCTTTTTTTTATAGCATAAAAGAGTATAAAAATATGTTTATCTTGTTTTTAATCGGTTTGTAGGTATGGCAGCTATTTATATTATATATAGATCCGAACTATTTGTTCGAAGATTGTACCGTTGACTTATGGCAATATTCATATACAACTTTTGCTTCGCTTAGCGTCAGACATTTGATTTGACGGAAAAATTTGATGTACATACGCTTTTGTATGAATAAGTTCACATAAAAAGTTTGCGACGCGAAGCCAAGCACAATGTTGGGCAACTCTTATCTTTTAACGCTTTGGCAAGCAACGGTCGCCATTTTTATTAAAGAGAAACACTGAAAGTAAAGCGTCCATTGTGGCATACCCTTTGTTTTTTGCATTTCGTTGTTTGGTATGAACTGTCACGTAAACCAAGTAAAGTTGTATATGAATGGGCCTTTAGACTTTTATATCCGGCCAAGGATTGTCAACTCGGCAGCATTCCTCAACAACATGCCAAGGGAAACATTCTCATAAAATTTCAATAACATCCCTCATATACTTAGATCGATTTATATATTCTAAAATTAAAGAGTGGTACTCAAATTCATAAGTTCGGTATAGTCTAAAATTAATATTATTAAAATTTATCAATTATAGAAAGGTATAAATATACGGCCTAAATTCAGACGAAGGTATAGGTATATCCATAATATGGGCTCTTTTTTTGTAAGTTAGTTGTATAATCTGTACGATATCTTCAACTCTTAAGTTGTCTATAGCATATACTAATTGAACGATCGGAATCAAGTTCTTGTAAAGAGCCTTTGTATTTGAAGGGAATTCTTGTTTTTTATTAAATTTTTAACAGTCTCATGTGCCTGGCTAGCTCATTGTATAACAAATTTTATTGTTTTGATTATGAAGATTATATTTATCATTCTTAGTACCGAATTAAGCGTTTCTGATTTACAGGTAGTCATAAGCTTATATACAGCGTCTACCAACATGGATGACGTGATTTTGACAGCTAGTGGCGGACATGTTTGTTTACGGGTTTGTGTCAAATTTTGTTAGTGTGATCAGTAAAGTTTGCCATTTAAATATGTCACGTTTCGCTTTGGACAACGCTTGAAAATTGTACAAGATTATTACGCAAATTCACGTTCATCGAAAAATCATATACTCAGATGAGGCCCATTCCTGGCTTAATGGCCTGGTCAACAAACAAAATTGTCGCTATTGGGGCGAGTCAAATCTGGCAGGAATTGAAAAAATAACTATTTTGTGGGCGTGGCAGTGTTTCGGTTTCATACAATACCAGAATAATTTACTAATTTTTAATTTTATAAAGTTCCATAAGAGAGGTTAGCATACTTAAACGAGTGTCAGAAAAAGTTATAAATATAAAATGTACACACATACAAGGGAAAAATCCAGATTATTTTATTTAATAAAATGTATTCAAAAATTTATTTGCATTTAAAATTTGAACTACATCGTAGATCAACAAATCGCTAGCTGAACAAGTGATTCTGTTGCTCTGTAAAAGGCATATGTGCTGTTTCAGGTACTTATCGGCTTTGAATTATACAAGTATGTAAATGCAAAGAGAAAAAAATTACGACTTAATTACATTCTTAATACATCTAATGGATGCAGTTGTTTTAATGAGGCCTTATCACTTGTCAATATTGAGCAGGCAAATGTAACTAGAACTTTTAGCACTTACTGATATAACTAAGCTAAAATTTAAAGAATTTTAAGTTCTGCATTTTATAACTTGAACAAACACACAAGGTGAGTTAGTGCACAATATTTTCAAAGAACGCAAATAAAATGGTAAATATTAACTAATTTCATAAAAAAAAAAATATGCACCCAATGCGAAATTATAAAACAAATGCATGCTCCACAATAAAAAAAATACTAAATTAGTATTTTAAAATTAATTAGTAATTGGCTTTTTCATATAATAAACACTCTTATCACAATGAGAGCTTTTGTGATTACAAAGAGATTACTGATAAAACGACTAAAATGCACATATGTATGTATGTACTTATATAGTGTATATTGTATATATGTATAGATTTCAAAGCAATTTTATACAATATATGTGAATCGGTCATAAGTGTGGCGCCAATGAGCTAACAACTCAACAATTCATATTAAAAATACGCTAAAATACTTTTTCTTTTTCAATGAGTTAGAAAGTAGGTCGTTTATGAACATATTGCTAAAGTATTAATACTAATTACACATGTTGTAAGGAAAAATATTGACATAGCATTTGATGATGTTATTGATTCATGAAATATTATTCATAAATTTAGCAAGTAAGAATATAAAAAGTTTAATGATATGTAATCGAGCCCTGTACGCATGCATTTCTTCCACAAGATTCAACCACCACGTTTCCTTCTCTTGGAAGAAATATTAGTACTAAGCTAACTATTGCACGGTTCGGCATCACCAACTACATATTTATATACATAACTATATAAACAAAATTTTACCTCAAGTTTGATCGATCAGTTTGTAAGGCAGCTATATGCTAATTAGTAGTAGTTCGATGATGACGTTTCCGGAAAATGAGCAGCTTCTTGGAGAGAAAAGGATGCATGGCAAAATTTCAGATTGTTATCTCAAAAATAAGTGGCTAGTTCGCATGTATACAGACGGACGGACAAACAGACGGACATCGCTAAATCGACTCAGCTCGTCACTCTGAACATTTATATATATATATACATATGTATGTATTTTTTATACGGTCTTCGACGTCTCCATCTTACAAACTACAAATTTATTATTTCTTCTAAAACCAAGAAAATTTGTAGTTCTAGTCTATAAGTATATATAATACAATATGTACCCAATTCCTCTGTAAATGTATGAAAATGTGTGAGTGATAACACCTAAAGCCACTATGTACACTAGACTAGTATATACAAATAAGATTGGTAACGATGCTTTCATAGTATTTGAAATTTCATGAATTAAAAAAAAGTTTGTGGAACCTTTTCTGTTCATCGCAGATTCTGAAGTTCCAGCTCAACAATATCAATGGCGTTTGTGCTTAATATCTGTGATATTCGAATCCTTTGCATAGGATTTGTATTTTTAATTAAACACAAATAGTATATATATTGACAATTTAAGTAAATGCAACGTTATATAAACAACTATCTCATTGAATTTGCATGAAAAATTATTTAGAAATTAATAAAAAAAAAAAAAAATATCAAGTAAGTAAAAATGCCGCGTTTTGTCGTACGTCATTTACATATTGCGAAAGTTTGTTTATGCAGGTGCAGCTGTGCATAAAAAATAAAAACTTAAATATATTACAAGACGTTCAAAACACACAAACAACAATGTGAAAGGAATGTGTAATTTGAAAAACAAATAATTAAACAAGAAACAACGTTAACTTCAGTTGCACCAAATCTATAATACTCTATACAAATACAAAATATTCCATAAAATAACTTAATTTTGATCGGTCAGTTTGTATGGCAGGTATATGTATGTTATAGTGGTCTGATATTGGCGGCTCCAACAAATGAGCAGTTTCTTGGAGAGAAAAGGAAGCGTGCAAAATTTTAGATTATATGATATAGACAGTCGGACATGGCTAAATCATTTCCTTTATGGTGTAACAAACTTCGTGACAAACTTAATATACTCTGTTCAAGGCATAAAAATATATAAGCGTGGAATTTTTATAGAAATAATATTGCAAAATATTAAGAGCAAGTCAATTCACAAGCAGGTAGGTATTAAATTTATAATTTTTACAACCTTTACAACAGAATATGCTATGTAAATGTACATATTTAAAACACATGTGCACAATAACAGAAATTGCTTTCAGTATAAACGTCGAGAACCTTTAAAGAGATAAGAATGCTATAAAGCACAATATGTATACCCAAACACAAACCACCGTACTGATATGCACACATATGTATGAATGTATAATTATTTATTATATTTGTATAAATTATTAATTGTAAAACAATGTGGCCTTCATTATACTATAAACGACGATAATTCGATTAAGTTTAAACAAAAAAACCTTTACTCCCGCCATGATGATGGGCGATAAACGCGAATTAATCGAAATATCTCATATGTAGTATGTATTATGTATGAACACACATAATATGCGCTATGTACCTACACACGTGCTATATATGTATGTACTTCCTTAAACAAAGTTTTAGTTCCTGTGTTGCTAACAACATGAAGAGTTGTTATTAATGTCGACTAAATATAATAGATAATTGAACGAACCTACATACATACAGTGAAGCTGAGATGGGCGGAGATCGGGGACCATTTCTCCCGAGCCCAGAGTTCTCAAAAAGGCCCGGTGCTCTACAACAATGTTTTGCAGATTTTTTTCTCCAACAATTCACTACAATCGCCTGCCTGCATATCTAACTAATAAGTAGAACAGATAGCAAATGCATGCATATTATGTACACGCAAAATCTTCGAAGCGGTTAAGCGGCATGATGGAAATTTCCACACTCTGTTTGATTGACATAATATAAATATTTTCACATCCGACAAAGTCAATAGGAAAAATTGTTTTTTTCAAGATTTCAGACGGCCGCTAACAAGCGCTAATTCCGATTTGGTTGCCAATAATAATGAATATGATTTATAAATTTTTAATATGTATTCAGTACTCACTTTAAATTGTACATGACTGATATTCCACTGTGGCCTTATCACATTCAGCACCTCTTTGGCACCGCTAATTACGTCGTCGCCAATGTGTATAGGTACAAAAACTGGAGTTACACAGCTGCCGTTTGTGATATCGCTATGCTGTTGTTGTTTAGAGTTCAATGCACCATTTGAGGAATGCAACTTTTGACCAACACCGGCACCTAATGCTGCTGCCGACGTACCATTGTGCGCTACTTTCGGACGAAAAACACTACCAGTCGTTGAAGTGGTGTTCTCCTTGTAACTGTTGAATTTGGTTTCTGTGCCCATACTAATTTGCCGCACTCGTGAATTATTTGAAATTTAGGTACTTGTTTTATTTCAATATACTTTCTGTGTGTATTACTTTAGCCACTTTTTATTGATTTGTAACAGAAATTTGTTATTTTTACTTACAAGTATATGTATAATATTTTCTTATAACGTTAAAACTATATGGAATTTGAGTGGTTTTTGATACATGTGTGTATTTCGGTATTTTGGTTTGCTTAGGTTTTCGTGCTCGGTTATTTACATCCGCTTCGTGGTTTGTTTGACTTTTATTTGTATATATTTTTTCCAATTTTGTTTGTATTACAAATTCAACACTTTTTGTTTGACGTTTTGTGCTTTGGCTATTTTTACGGCTGATTGGACAGCTGTAGTAAATATTTCTCTTTTTTTAAGTAGTGACGTTCTCCTTACCGGTAGTTGGAGAAGCGTTTCTCCTTCTCCTCTGTTACAATGCTGATCAGCTGATTTTGCTCCTTTCCCGTGTATACTCCTCACTGCTTTATTTCAAAAACTTCAACTAATCTCATACGTTTTGCGCGCGAGGATTATATTTGTGGTCGCGTAAGAATTATTTCATATAATCTAGTAAGAATATCGCCTTTTTTATTTTCAAATTCCTTCACTATACCACGTTTCTTACTATGCGCTCTTTGGCAGACGTTGCACTCTTCGTTATTTTGTTGTTGTACCGCTCCTCTCGTCGTCACGTATATTCGTTTTGTTTTTGCCTTTATGACGAGCTTCCGATTTGATTCTATTTTTATCGATTTTTCACGTAATGGATTACATTTGCCAATTTTTAGCTCTCCCTTTTACACTGTGTTCGTTTTTTGTCCTATCCTTTGCACAAAAAATTTAAATTCCTGTTCCTCCTTAACAACTGTATGCGTGAAATACACTTTTTAGCAAGATTTGATTATCCTTCTGTATTAAACATAAGTTAGTTCAATTCCGTTTTATCCAGCTAATAAGCGATTTTTTTTGTTTGCTAAATGCAATCAGAACTCAAATAAATGCAAATTATTTATCACTTAAAATTTTCACACCTCTAATCTTGACCAAATCTCTTGGTAAACTGAACGAGTGAGTGCCGCACATGATTATATATACGGTTGTGTCGATAGATGACGTTCACATGGGGACTCTTTTGTCGCTCATTTTCGGCAAATTATCTTTTGGTGTAGCTCTGTGCGTTCACACGAGCGAAAAGAGTTCAGCAACTTTTTATGTTTGTGCGGTTCGAGTACGCGATACTTAGAGCGTATTGCTTAGTTCATTTGTATGAGGTATGGTGGTCTCACATTTTTCTTACAAGAAATTAACATAAAAATGGTAGAACAATATTACTTATAATATAAATATAAAAAAGTATAAGTAACCTCCTTTTTATTAGAATTTATTTATATATGTATATACTATTACATTTAATACGGCTAAATGTTCTTAATAATTTAAATTCAATATTTTTGAGTATCTTAATTTTATTCTTATTCACACGGTCCCTTCGACTTTCCTCGTGGTGCCATCGCTCATAAAAACCGGTATGGGCGACAAGAGTCCCTGTGTGAACTGGGACACACGGAGCGTGCATTCTCTTACCAAATTTGTTTGTCTTAATAACGTCACAAAAGACTGTTGTTGTTGTTTTTCTTATGAATTTTCTGTTTACAATTTGATGATTTTGTGATTTACAATCTTCGTATTCAGTTATCAATCAAAAAGGTATTTTCAATGGTTGAAATCTTTCAAAAATTTATTTTTGAATTATTAAATCAAAACAATACAAAGCTAAACGGCTGATTTTGACAAATTGTTGTTTTTAGGCTAACGCCACAACCTTATAAAATTGGATCATGGTTGCCGCACAGAAAACACTGTCACTCGCAGCAGTGTTGCCACTTGGAACATCTTTGGGTACCAAAATGCTTACCAAATCTGTTGCAAAATTACCAAAATTTCTTATAATCAAGACATTGCGTTTTATTTCACTTCACATTTAAAAAAATATTTCGAATATTTTTAACCACTCGTAATTTTTGCTTTAAAGCTCGGGCGAGTATTCATCAATAAAAATTATTATCATGTTGTCAAGAACATTTGATAACTTGTACTCCTACGCTCCACATACGACCACGAATAATGCCAAAGTACAGAGCCAGCCCCTCCTAGGGAAAGGACAAAGAAACGTTGTGGATAACATGCATACAAGGCAATCGGTCGGCCGGTCATCAAGTACGCTGTACCGTATGAGGGATGTAGTGAAATGCATACGAAAATGCTTCAGACATGTCAGCATACTGCACTCCGTAACATTACAGGATGTCTCTGGTCAAACACCTACATAGTGAGGCCTGCATGCTTCCAGTCAAGGAACATAATGCACTCCCCTCTAAGCAGTTTCTGCTAGGATGATTTCGCAAAACCTCTGACGAATATTTCAAATTGCTTACTGCGAAAGTTTTAGGTACTTTATTGTTATACCTGAAAACTCCGTTGAAAAGTATACCATAATTTTAACAATTATTTGAAGTAAAACTAAAATATTTACTAGCCCATAATCATCTTTTTCATTAATTTGATGCATGAAGTTGAAGAAATGCTCGAATATATAAAATTCTTGACACTCTTCATCCACAGTTTCAGTTATAGTTATATCTCTCATTTGAGCAGATGGCTCTCGTTCATGACTATTTCTTAGTTAGAATGTATCGCAAACAAGAAAGTATGCAATTTTAAGTGAACCAATCTAAAGATGAACTTTCATACTAAATATATTTGATAAAAACTATTGCCTACAAAAACCTTATGCTTATCAACCAAAATACCAAAGCATTGTATAAATCTACAATGTACCGAACCAAAACGGCAACGCTGATTCGCATGCTCTGCGATCGGCATTTTGGCATGGTGTGCGGTGAAATAGCAGGGCTAACGCTACCAGACTATAAAAGGTGTCGTGGTGAATATTAAGAAGAAATTAAAACAAAATAATAAAACTAAAAAAAATTCAATAAATAATATAATAATTAAATTGCTAATATTTCTTGATAACGGTATTTATGCATATTTACTTAAATAAAAAAAATTTAATTATATTAAGTCAAAAAAATTATTAAAAAACATACAATTGTTTAATATTTCTTAATAACGGTAAATTAATTAATTTAAAAAAAATAGTTACAAGGATATAATTGCTAATTTTTTGTTTGTTTTGATAACAGTACTTATGCATATTGGTAAGTATTAAAATTTTTTTATTAAATTCAAAAAATAGCTAAAAATATATATGTATATAAAACTACAGTTGTTTACAGTTATAATTGAAATATTTATTTTTTGTTTTTCTTTACTTGCGTACATATATGTATACATATAACACACTTTTCACAATTTTATTTTTATTGAATAATATTTTTTTTTTTCAATTTGTAATAATATTTTATGTTTTTGTAAATAATTATGTACTTATCAGTGTATAACTTGTCATATAGTGTAATAAGTTTTCATATTCAGTGCTACACCTTGAAGTGTGTGTGTGTGTGTGTCGTAAAAGTAACACATTTTTGTACAGAATGTCTTTTATTTGTATATAACCAATGCATAAATGTATTAAATAATTATCATAAGATGATATTATTTCCGTAACAGCCATTTGTGGGTGAAAGAGTGAGAATTTTATATATTTTAAATGCCTATTAACGACTTTGGCAAATCTTTTTATAAGTAATCAAACAAATTGAAGCTTTAAAGCTCGCTTTATATAATATACATATGTAAGTATGTGCGGCTAACTGTAACTGTAGTGCAATTATTAAAATTTTATAAAATTGCAATAATGATTTTTATAGAAAATTTCAGTTAGTTTATATACAAACACTAACGCTTGCTCATGTCAGTCAGTTGTTACAATAACAACAACTATTTCTCTTTTATTTTCAGCCATTTATGCATTGGTTAGCAAATTTCCCGTTATTATATTTAATTGCTATAAATATTTCATAAAAAAATATGTAGTAAACTTTAGTGTGCGAATTCTTCAACATTTTCCATATTAAATGTTTGTATGTATAAATGTGTGTGTGCTCATGTGAGACGAATTTAAAAATACAATTACATTGTGGAAACCGTTGCTTATTAATTAAATAAAAAAAAAACAATTACAATTACATTTGCCTATTCTAACCTACAAAAACGTATTATTACTATTTCGTGTTTTCATTATACGAGTATGTATTCACTGTTTTTTATGCATTATATATATAGTATATATGCATAATATATATAATATATAATTATTTTGACTAAACAACACAACTTTCTCATTATAACAATCATTTGCATTTTCATACACAATTTCATTTTCAAATATTTATTTATATAACTAGTATATACAATGCTAACATTGAAATAATTAGTCTTTTAACAGAGTTATTACACACTATTAATTGGCCTATTTTATATACATTGTATATATGTATGAATGCATGTTTGTATGTATGAGTTTAAATTTATTCAACATATAATATTGGCACATTTATATTTCTTTTAACGATTATCTAACCTAAATATTTACAACGCTTTTTACTAATAAAATATTTACATTTAAATTTATATTTACATATTTATGCAAAGCATTAAGTTTTATGACTTTTTTTTGTTAAAATATACAATATTTGTATTTGTTTGACAAATTTTGGTATGTTTTTTCTTCTTATGTGAAATTTCTAAGTAATTTATGTATTAAGTATAAGTGCAGGACACAAATCTCTAAGTGTAAGTAAATTTTAATAAACATTGCCAGACCTTGTTGCTTTTACTTATTGGTTTATCCTAGATATTTAATATATGCACGTTTGTATGTATGTAGGTATGTATGCTGTGGAAGAAAAAATTGACAAATGGAATTTTTTATTTGTACCGAGTATGGATCAAATTTTTCCAAGCCATCAGTTTTGTGGACTCTTTCGAATAACTTTTTAATAATTGATTTTTTTTTCATATATGAAAATAATAAAATTTTCATGTGATACAAACAAAATAAAAATTTAGCCACTCTTCAGGGTATAACTTCTGTTGTAAATATGTGAGTGCTAATATTTATAATAACAGTATAACCAAAAAAAAAAATTGTTTTACATGTGTTTCTCTTATTAAAGGGACATTTTTAATTTTTTAATTTTGGACTTTTAAAATTTCTTTTAAAGTTTACTATTAAAAATACTTACAAAAAAATTATGTTTGAAATGTTTTCGAAATTATATTGAAATAAATTTTAATTGCAAATAAATTACAATACAAGCGCACGATAATTATTTACCTATACCTTTGATTTAAAAATATTATATTAAATATTCATCAGGAATATATACTTTTTTATTACAAAGAAATAGTTGATAAAAAATAAAAAAAATTGATTTTTTATTTCAGTAGTTTAAATATCAAATTTCGAGAAATTCAACAAGTAATCAAAAAAATTCAATATATACAAAAAAGTAGAGAAAAGCGTGTTTTTACCTATAAATTAAAAAAAAGTGATTTATGCTATATTTACAAAAATGTTCTTTTAAAAAAATTTACTTTCGCGGTAATTGTATTCAATCATGTTATATATAAGTATAAAATATTTTTTATAAAACACTAAATTTCATCAATTAATAAAGGTAATTTCAAAAAAAAAAAAAAAACGAAAAAACGCTATTATGCCCTTCACAAATACAAAAGTTTCCATACAAGGACTTGAGTGTGATAGGTACGTTTGTATGACAGCTACATATATTCTGACTAATCTGAACAATTTGTTCCAAGATTGTAGCGCTGCCTGGGACAATAATTCATGCCAAACTTCGTGAAGATACCTTGACAATTAAAACAATTTTTCAAACAAGAACTTGTGTTTATGCAATAGTTGTGCGATATCTACGGTTCCGTCAAATGAGCGTTCCTTGGGATAAAAAGGAAGGTATGCGAAATTTCAGAAGGATATCTCGAAAATTAAGCTTATTTTTTTCGTAAAATTCTTGGTTCTTCGTACGCGCAACTTTGTGTGCAGCCAAGCATGTAGCACTACCCAAAACTATTTGGCTAAGACTACGTGCAGCTAGAACATAACAACATTTTATTTTTATAAAAAAAATCTTAAAGGGGTATTCAAGTCTAGAGGCATAAATTTCAGGTAATTTTTAAAGTGTCGTAAAAAAGGCAATTAATATTTTTACTATCCATTTTTCATTAGTGATTTATTAACATTACAAGAATACAGCAAAAAAATAAAAAGTTAAAAAATTACCAGCTGATAAAGTGGGGGGTAGATTCGACACGTGATCATACCCACGATTTCAACCAAACAAAAAAAAACATTTTTAAACCACTGTATTTGACTGTTCGAAATTTTGAAAAATGGTAATTATTGAAATTGGATATAGTTAGTTACAGACATAGACATGTCTATAAAGAAGAATTTCTAAAAATTTCAGGTAAATCGGTCCAGTAGAACCTGAGAAATCGTGGTTATCGTTTTGATAAAGAAAGTTTCGAGAAAAACGCGTTTAATGTATCAGTTCCGGCCGAAACAGTTTGGATGCCAGGTTATCAAAATACCTAAATCTTCGAAAATAATTTGAATTTTGAAAATTCTCTTGCAAACATATTATTGAATAGTTAAACTTTGATAATATAAAAAAAATTATAATTTTTTTTTCTAGGCTAGAATACCCCTTTAAGAACTTAATATTATAATTTTGGCGAGTATTTTCTACAAATGTATGATCTTAAGATCATCTTACAGTGACCTAACCCTGCTTAGAGTGGTAGTAACTAATATTAGGTTAGGTTTGGTTGTAGCATTGAACCTAACCTAACTAAAAAAAAAAAGGAAAATAAATGTAAATGTGATGCTTTCAACTTATTTCTGTATGTACGTATGTAGGTTTATCTTTGAGATAATGAGTATATAACGAAAATATTTAAGGAACTTATTAAAGCAATCAATTAAATTATTTTCACTTTGAAGAACATTTACTTAAGTAATATGTATATGTACATAAGTGTAAATATAATAATATAAAACATATTTTACTTATTATATAATATATTTTACTTGTTTAAGTATAAAAATTCTTCTGTTTCACTTGGGAATCGCTACAAACTCATAGCCTTTTACTCTTACGTTTAGTAAATATATTACTTACTATTTGGTTAAACACATACTAAATGCATGTGTATAGCGGCATGTATGCCATATAAGTACCTTTCAAACACTTTCGCACACACTTATACGAATAACAACAGTAAATCAGTCGCAAAAGAGTTTCCAAATGTAAATCACCAACAACTATATAATGCCTAAGACTTTGGCCGTGATAGTGAAAATTTCGCTAGTCATCAACTAAGCAATAAACATGCAATTAATATGCTTGATACGAGTTGTATTATTTTTACAATATCAGCGCAGCAAATGTTTGCCGCATACGATCACTAAGGAAGCTTGGCTTGTGCAAATCTTTTCACTTTTGTTTTTTTTGTATACATTTTTTTTTTGGTTAAATTGTTTAATTTGGCCATTCCATAGTAGCTCGATGAGTTCAAATTCATTTCATTGTATTTTGCTGTGACCAAAAATCTGATGTAACATAACCGTATGAAACTATTGGCTGAACTTGTTGTTGCACTGGCGTTTTTGAATCGTCGTCAATATTCGCGTCACTGGTAGCGTTTTGTGCAGCAGCAAACTGTGGATATAGTTTATGTGTTAGTAGGAAATTTGTCTTTTCTATTGAAGTTTTGTGTTTACCTTGGTCAACGTATCGGGTAGTAGGTAGCCACTGTTTGTTAGTGACATATTTTTAAAAATATTGGCTTGCGCATGCTTAGAATTACTTTGTGAGTGTTGTTGCGGTAGTGGCATTAGAGATTTCTTGTTTTCAAACATATTGGTATGCGATGCAGCGATCTGTAGAAATATAAAATGAAGCTTTAATTAGGTATTCGATTAAAAGGTGGAAAAGAAAAGTCAATTAACCTTAGGTAGCTCATCGGGCAACACATAATCGTCAGTTGTAAGCGCAAAATTTTTAAATGGCTCCGACTGCGCTGGCTTGATTGCTATTTGTGGAAATTGTTGTTGTAATGGCTTTTCAGCTTCGTTTTGATCTTCCCGCGTGGTAGCCATATGTGCTGTGGGCAACTGCAAAAATATGTAATTGATAAAATATATACGAGTATGTTTGATACAACAACAAAAGCGATAACGTTGAAATTAATGGGTTATATCCACTTGTGAATTTTAAAAAATCGAACTTTTTTTTTGCAGAAATATCGAATGTACATATGCTTGAGAATATTCTCCGAAAAGTTGATCCGGCAAACAGTTTCGGATATATTAGCGTATTTGTAAGAATTTTTAAACTTAATGTAATCGGTTTTTATAACTTTAAAAGCGTGTTTCTCAAAACGCTGTTTTCGAAATCAGTGAAGAAAATTTCTCGAAACGGCTGGACCAACAAGCTTCGTATGCATATTTGTCAGTTGTGATTAAAGGAATAATAATTTCATTTTATTAAGCCACTCTAAAATTTCAGTTTTTTTCACAAAAACGTTTTTTTTTTTTTGAAAAACCGCCTTTTTGTAAAAAATCCAAAGTTTGACTGGTCGTGCATTCATTTATAGTATTAATAATTTTTTTGTTTTTGGATTTTAGATAATTTTAAGCCGAAAAATCTTTCTCACTGCCAGACATCTATTTTCGGAAGTTCTCCTTCAAAAGTTCTCAAAATAAATATCCCATTATTAAAGTAAATTAAATTCTGTAAGTTTACGCTTTTTTATTTGTTTAATAAATAAAATGTCTCTTAAAAAACAAAAAAAAAAAAGTCACACAAAAACGCTTTTTTTTTACTTGCAAGTGCATATAACTCCTTTAAACCGATTCAATTACTCATCGAAACCGTTATTTACCTTGTGCAGTGAATCGGGTAGCACATAATCGCCGGTTGCAAGCGTTGGAAAGAGTTGCGACTGCGCCGTTGCAGCTTTCGCTTGCGAGTGCTTTACTTCCATTGGGTTTACGGAATTCTTTCCGGCATGCGCTGTTGACAACTAGAAGCGGCGATTATAAGAAAAACACGATTGAAATAAATAATAACCAAAACAAGAAAAACGTTACATTTATTGCACCGAAGCTATAATACTCTACACAATAAAAACAAAGTTTTCCATAAAAGAACTTGATTTTGATCGACCAATTTGTATGGCAGCTATATGCTATAGTGCTTAGATACCGATATGGGTTTCTACCAAATGAGCCAGCTTCTTGTGGAGAAAAGGACGTGTGCAAAATTTCAGATCAATATCTCAAAAACTGATGTACCTATTCATGCATATACAAACGGACTTGCCTAAATCGACTCAGCTTGTCACGTTGATCATTTATATATATATTTTTTAATAGGGTTTCCTGCTGGGTGTTAAAAACTTCGTGGCAAACTTAATATACTTGTACTTGTATGTTAACCTGTTCAGAGTATAACAAAAACAAATTAGTTACCTTGTGGAGTGAATCTGGTAGCACATAATTGTTCGCCAGTGGCGCATTTTTCATTAAATTATTATTATTAATATTGTTTTTATTATTATTATTTGTCATTTGTAGCAAAAGCGGCGACTTTGAATTTTTGTTGAGCATAGCGACATGTGGGGTTGACACTCTTGCAGCGATATCGCCCGCTGTAACATAAGCTCCGAAATTTCCTTTGTTAGCACTACTTTCCGAAGCTGAACTGCACTTTGATGTAATTGAATGTAAGGGTAAGTATGAAGATTCGCTCGATGTGCTGCTGTCATTAATAATAATTGGTGCTATTTGTTCCGCTTGCAAGTAGTCATCATTAATGAGAATGGGCTTGTCAAATGTCTTTTTACACCGCAACGGTGAAGAGGAGCTGAGACTTTTTAAAGTTATTGTAGTCTGTGGCGATGCTGGCTCGCTTTTCGCCCAACAACGTGAAAATTCCCTATTGACATCTTCACTACTTGTACTGGGTGTGTCACTGCCACCGTCGCCAACGCCATCGACACCACTTTCACTGCTACTCGAAGGTACGGACGTATTCCCAATATTGATTAGCGATGCACCATCACTAGCTTTTGTAGATACAATCGAAATATTTTCCGGTTTATTATCCTCCGAACAACTGGTTGATTTTGAGCTCATGCTCATTAGTATTATCACCGAATCTGGAAATCGTACATAAACCTTCCATTGACGTTGCATAAAATTGTAGGTCCAAAGTATGGTCACTATGAACATGCTAACGAAAATAAACGAGGCCGCTAATGTTTCCCACGGAAATGGCAAACAATTGTAATTCGGCGAACTCTTTGGTTCCGATTTCAACATGTAATATCTTGTATTACTCATGTCCGGTAATTGTGTTCGGATACTTCCATCAACTGGTTCACACTTAAAATCGTTGTGCGTTTTATATTTGTATGCATATTCGGCTTTTTTCGCTTTTTTATTGTAATCAGCCACAATATGTTCCTTTGATATGTCATACTTATACATATTATAAGTAGTTTCTTGCGTCTGTAGTGGACTTCGTGCGTATGCAGGATCGGTGAGACGACGCATTCGTTGCATTGCTTCTTCTTCTGCGATAGCGAAAGTGCTCTTATCTAGGTCCTTTTCGGCTACTACATTTATAGCGCGTACTTGCATATTTTGTACGCCCTCCCTGCAATCGGGATATTTCACGCGGCACTCGTGTTTATTTCCTGTTCCTGGCTGTACCGTTAAAATCTGTCTTAGATTATGGTCATTAAATATTAGCTCGTAGAACACCGTATGGGGTCCTAAATTTTCAGCTGCGGTCCAACTGAGCACATAATCACCACCATCTCGATTTAGCGTTACATCTGTTGGTAACGTTGGTACTGAAAAAGAATGATTGACACAATTTTTTTTAATAACTTATTTAAAAAATTTTTACGTATATATCATTTCCTTACTGCAAGACAGTCATAACTTCAAAAATGCGATTTTCGAATTATACATGCAGTAATGGTCATAAACTAAAGTTTTATATTGTGTGAAAGTTTCATATTTCTACGATTTTCTCGAAATAGCAAAGTTTGAGTTATAATTAACTCGTATTAAACTAACGAGAGATACCATCTGATCACATTTGATCCGGACTTACCAAAAAAAAAAAAACAACGACATTTACACGTGTTTTAATACAATACAAATCTTTGTTATCGCCTTCAAATAGGCTCCTTTTAAGCTAAAACAAGCATGTCAACGCTTAATACAATTTTCCATACACTTGTGCTGAGATGGCCTTTTGTTTTTTTCGGTATCGGCTTGTTAGACAGGTTTGACGTCATATTCATAAACCCACTTCTCGTCACTAGTAACAATGCCTTTACGTATGTAGGGTCCTCAGCTACGTTTTCAAGCATTTACGACCTCTACTCGACGTCATTTTTGCAAAAGATTTAGGTCTTTTAGTACGAGTTTAGCATTGGGTATGAAGCGTACCCAAAACATTAGCCAAAACGTGTTGAGTCGATCTATAAGATATCCTCTGCTATCTCTGATGCCAACACGATGATTTTGAACTTTTCCGATGTTATCGTCGTTAACAGAGGTGGATAGACGACTCGTGCCTGGCCAGTTTTCGATGACTTCAAGACCTTCTCTGAATGCTTTATGCTAGTCAAATATTTATGTATGTACGTGATAAGGTAGAATCTCCAAAACACTTTTTCAACGGAGTCGTGATCCCATTAAATTTCAAGCAATACAAAAGCTAGACAATTGACATATGGAGATCAAATTTCCGACGAATATAAAGGATTTGGTTTGCGCGTGCAGTTTAAATGTACCAGTCCGGGTCAATTTTGATCAGATGATACAGAGAAAAAATATCCCTGCATAGCAGAATTTTTAAGTAGGGATACTTTTTGCTGTTTATACATATATTACATGTCTAATCATTTGGTTGAAAATCATCAGACAAATTGATTTCGCGATGTCTCTCTATGCATCTACGAGTTAATAGATTCATTATTGTACTCACTGCCAATCATGGTGGTAATATTAATTGAAGCACTTTTAATTGATTGCTTTGATGTCCACGCTGTCAGCCATATTTCATAGACAGAGCCACTGCTTAGATCGGTTAATATATAAGACAGGTTAGCGGTCTCATTGTATTTTACCTCCGTTTCGTAGTATTTTTTATACCTTAAAGTATACACAAACAAATTACCCTCACACAGAAATTTCAAACATTTTTAATGTTATACAAACCAAATATAATACTTTTGCAGAACCCCATGGGTTTCGGTCGGCGCTTCCCATGAAATTTTTGCCGAATTACTTGTCACGTCCATATACTTAAGATTAGTTGGCGGTTCAGGTGCTAAAATAACAGTAGGTTAGGTTTTTAATATTTATTATGAACATAATTATATAATCGCAAGTTTGAAATTCACCTGCTTCATTAGTTTGGCGAACCACCACTGTACTAGGCGGGCTCTTTCGATTATTTGCGCCGTATAACTGTATGCTGATGTTATAAAATGTATATGGTTGCAAATTCGTTAAAATGAAGTTTCTACTTTGTCTAAACGTTTCGATTTCTGAATGACAACTGGGCAACGTTTTATTATCCATGACGCAATAGGTTATATTATAGCCATCGAATGCATTCATACAATTTGTATTAAACCAGCTTAAAGAGATGCTTGACTCCGACATGACGGTAGCGTCCACCGTTATCTGCTTTAAGGATGCGTTTAAATCAGCAAAGCAAGTGGTCCACTTAAGTCCACTACTTCCGAGTGGATAGTTGGCGGCTACGGCCATTATAAGTTGATTCCTCGAGGGTATGGGATATTCGCTTTTCGTGTTTTCTACATATTTGAAGTGCATGGGACCCTATTTTGCGTGAAAAAAAAATTGTTAGACATTATGTATAGAACAACTGTATACTACTATATATTGCTTTACTTCACACTCAGTCCTCTTCATCAACATTTGCTGACACCAGAAGACAGTATAGTTGCTTGGTGGTCGCTTTTCGTAGTCATGTGGATGCTTCCATTTTAATTTGAATGCTCCATTTTCAAACAACTTCTCAATTTCTAATGGCGGATTCATGTCGCTGGGTGGGACGCGTATTATGCTTACATTTGACGAAACACCGACTGCATTTTTGGCGAATATTTTATACATTTTAGGCGTCTTAGACCAATGAAAAGCAACTATTGTGTTTTTGGTTTCTTTCTTACTGCAAAAAAAAAAGAAAGTTAAATTTCTTTCAATTAGTTGACTAAATGTTAAACGGAGACGAATTCATATGTGTGTGTTTTGGGAAAAAAACTCTACGCTCCTAAAATTTTGCTGTTGTACCTAACAAAGTAACAAAGTATCTAACTTAGAGCAGATAACACTGGAAGTTTTTTGATGGTATAAAAATATATACAATTTACGACAAATTTTCTAAGCTTGAGAATTTACTTACTCGTACAACTTTTGTCCATGCATATCCAACTTTTGAATGACGTAAGTGAAATTTTTACCATTCCTCTCATAATCTGGCAAATCCTCCCAATATAGGGTTGTGTCATTTCCATAATTATAGAAACCACCAACATAAGTGTGTGGCGCACGATCGGGTATACGTTCGGTGGTATTAAAGGTCACTTCAGTTGGTTCATTCCATTCGCATGTATTGCAATTAACACGCGCTGTTAGCCTCACAACATATGGCCAATAGGCATAGGAAAGGTTTTCGAGTATAAAATCATATTTCAAGAGAGCACTGTATTTAATTAAATTGTATTTAGTTAAATTGTACTTTTTGAAGTTAACCGGTTCAACAGTAATATTATATTCCAATCCACGTTCATAGGAATATTTCTTATCGTTTTCCCAAGATAAGCGCACGCTGTTGGGGGTTTTATTACTCACATTGACTTGCAATTTAGCCGGTATGACTGCAAGTAATAGGAAGCATGAAAAATATTCAAGAAACATAAAGGATCTGTCTTCAAAACTTACCGCGCTCATGGGTGTTTATGGAAAATTTATTCGTGTACTCTCCTAAAACATTCGTCGCGATCAAAGTGAAATTATGAAAGTTGGCGGATGGAATATAAGTGCAGTAATCGCCAGTATTTAGCGTCTTCAACGTTATATTATGGAATGAGCCGTTGTCTAGTTTGCAATGCAAAATCTTGTTCAATGCCTAAATGTGAACATTGAAAAGGTGTATGTTAAGTTCCGTTTTCTTTTTCAGTAATTAAATTTTTTTTAGTTTTATACAGCACTACCTATTATATAAACTACCAGTAATACTTACTACATATGTTATTTTATATTCTGTTGGTAAGTTATTTGGTGGATAGAACATTCTGCATCTCATAGATTCATAGTTGTAACCTGTGCATTGAAAACTGCTTACTGACTCCGGAGCTTTTCCTGCAAAAAAAAGTTTATATACATTTTTTGGTTTTTACTTGAATTAGCGTGCAAGTGATTAGATTGCAATTAGTTGGGAACCAGCGTTGTATGGCGCATAAATACCGTTACATGCAGCTAAACGAGTTAGGGTAGACAAACTAAAGAATATATAAATACCGTTCTACAAATTATCAGATCTAATTGTCTTAAAACTATTTGCAAGGTCAAACTTTCTCTATACCCACTGCACGGGGTATATTAAGTTTGTCATGAAATTTGCAACACCCAGCAGGAAACATCGAAGCGGATGATCAGCGTCACGTACTAAGTCGACGTACATCTCTCTGTCTGTCTGCACATACGCTAACTACTACGTCAGTTATTGAGATATCGATCTGATATTTTACACACGTCTTTTTCTTACCAATAAGCTGCTCATTTGCCGGAATTGACGATATCGATTCAGTATAGAATATAGCTAACATACAAACTGATCGATCAAAATTAAGTTCATGTAAGAAAAACGTTTTTTGACAAGGCACTAACTTCAGGAAATTTTGCATAGCCTAAGACAACGCTATCAATTTTGGAGATAAATTTTTAGATCGGACTACTATAGCATATAGTAATGAACCAAATCAGGTGCTTGTCGGGAAAACTTTTTTTATTTGACAAGATATCATCATGAAATTTGGCTGGAATAGTATTCCAAGGCAAGCCTATAATCTCGAACAAATTGTTTAGATCAAAATTACATTCTTGCATAGAAAATTTGTTAATTTGTAAAAGTTATTATATTATACTAGCTTCGGTTTAACACAGGTTAACCATTTTTCTTGCTCTGATTTACGTTTTCGCTCTTAGATGACTATATCACAGATCGCCAGTCGTTCAGGGCTCCGGAAAGGGGCCACATTTGCAAAATCCTTATTCGTTCCTTGAGAACCACCAGAATCCATTAGTATCAAGCATTTTTGAAAGGAATAAATTTTAGGGAGATTTACCAAGATACAAGCCATTCCAAGATACAAGTCTCTGAGGGTACGCCACTAAAGTAAACGTGGTGCAAAACCCATCCATGGCTACTCGAATTACCGATTCTGCTGGGCGATTATGTCGACCGAAGATTGGACACAGCGTGAACTGAACCAATAATTTGGTGACAAATTTGCACGGTTTGCAAACCCTGTTTACAGAGTAAGTCTATTCATTATGAAATGGCAAACCAAGCTAGGTACAAATCAACTAACAGCTGTCAAAAGGACCAACTTCTAAAAAATATTGCCTCATTGTAAAACACACTTCTAAAACAAAACACCCTTTACAATACTAGATTTTATAACTGCAGACTACCATATTTGACTCGAGGAAGTAGAACAGGCAGCTTTGTCATGCAGTCTAAATTTTCAAACATTTCGACCAAATCTTCTTTCCATGCCAACCTACCAATCGGACTGTGAGTTCGAAAACGAAGCGGACTCGGTTGCATACTTGAACAAGGACCGTCATAATGGCAGCGTTACACAAATTTATGATGGAAAGATTTTATGCAACAGCTACTACAATATAGTTCAAGAATTTATGGAAGATCGTAAGCAACAGTTTCCCATCAATTGAAATGAATACCTTTCCACACATGTAATATCTAAATATGTGTGTGTGTGCACTTTTACAGCTTTTGTAATTCAATAGTTGCTAATTAATTTCAGGTAATCAGCTTCAGTTCCAAGTAAGAGTATTCCCGGCACGTGCATCTATGCGCCAAAATAAGGGCCATTAAGGCAAGGTGATCGAAATGCGGCCAGTTACTGAGTTATTGGTCGTTTCGGTGCTTAATGCTTCTTTAAATGAATTTGTAATCGATTTTATGACGCGATTAAACGAATATGCCGGCGTAATCAGCTCGATATGTATTCAGGTAAAAATATGGGGATATATTTATTCAAGATGCATTATTGTAATAAATATCCACTTATTACTTTCGATATTTTCGAATATACAGTGAAACCTCCCTCAACTGGACAGTGACGGTTCAACAATTTTCGTTGATCGAAGCTCTACATATTTGGCCTACCATTACTGGTCACGTTGAGTTAAATCAAAACCTAAAATTATATTTAAAGTGGCCTAAGCTGTTAAAAGTTAATCAGAAAACCTTTTTTTATATCTTCTATGGAACAAAAGAGTGGTAAGCAGAAGCGATGGCAAAAAAAGATATTATACGCAAAAGATCTAAAATATTATCAGTTATAGCTGTCCGATGTTAATGGTATATTTTTACTGTTGACTTTCTCACTGAGTCTTCATAATTGAATCTGATTTTTGATTTCTGTGTTATACGAGTATACGCCTTATTCGCTTAAAATCGGGTTATGAAGTGACAGAAATTAAAATAAATTTGTATTTTGAATTTGCATAAGAATAAATATTATTACTATTTAAACCCTTTTTGGTGATTTTGTAATATTGGTCAAATAAAAAGTTCATTCGGTTTTTTTTATTGATTTTCCGTCCTAATTGGCAAAAAACTCGGAGAGCCAATTTTCACAGGCCTCTCTTGAGGCCAACTTCTCACCATTAAGCGCGAACGCCATGGACAGGAAAAGATCGTAATCACTTGGTGCCAGGTCCGGACTATAAGGTGCGTGCATTAGGACCTCCCATCCGAGCTCCCGGAGCTTCTGGCGCGTCACCAAAAACGTGTGTGGCCTGGCGTTGTCTTGATGGAACACAATTCGGTCTATGTTGATCAAAGGTGGCTTCTTCTGGATGAGTGCTGCCTTCAAGCGGTCCAGTTGTTGGCAGTAGAGGGCCGAATTAAGCATTTGGCCATAGGAGAGCAGCTCGTAGTAGATGATTCCTTGCCAATCCCACCAAACACACAGCAAAACCTTCCTGGCCGTCCCTTCGGTCTTGGCCACCGTCTGGGCCACTTCCCCGAGCTTTGACCACGACCGTTTGCGCTCGATATTGTCGTAAGTGACCCATTTTTCATCGCCAGTCACAATCCGCTTCAGAAACGGGTCAATTTTGTTGCGATTCAGCAGCGATTCGCAGATGGAAATTCGGTCCATAATGTTTTTTTGCGTTAGTTCGTGTGAAACCCAAACATCGAGCTTCTTTTTGAATCCAAGCTCCACTCGTCTCTCACTGGAAATTAGAACGCAATTGATAAACGTCAAAACCTACTGAACTCAAGCAACTGTCAAAGTTCAGTAGGTCTGACGTTTAGCAATTGGAAAAAGAGGGACGGCCAGATTAAAATCATACAGAAAAATATGTGAACAGAGAGATTTGTTGCTGCTGTTGAAGATCACTAACAAAAATTGGAAAACAGTGAAAATGAAAGAAAACGCGAAATTGAAATTTATGTGATAATATCTTTTGTGATGTCATGCTAAGTGGTATTGATTTTCAATTGAAAATTTTTAAAAACATTTATTAATTGAGAGCTAATACATTTATTCTTTTGATTACGTATTGAAAGTTCAAAAATCACTTCTTTAATAAATCACAAAATCACAAAAAAAAAAAGAGTATAAAAAGTTTCTGCATATGTTTAACGGATACATGTATAATAATATTTAATCTTAATAAATGATGGGTATTTTAATTTAAATTCCCAAAAATTATTATTTTGTCCCATCTGGCTGCAATGGAAATTGTTATAAAAAACGCTAATTTTGAGGCGCTCTCACACTGGAAAGAGTTGGGCATCCCATTATCCCTGTTAGCAAGGCTTCCCAACTGCAACATCAGCAATCCGTTCTCCGACATGCAAGAAAAGATCAATAACCTAGTCGAGCTGGCCTCCTGCTGTCGAACTTGAGATACACATTCTAAAAACGAAGGCCATGAGAGTCAATCCCGTTATCAATAGCCAAATAAAGATTTAAAATCATGAAATCGAGTCCTTCGACAGCTTCTGCTACCTCAGAAACACAATAACTACCGACGGAGAAGCAGAAGCGGATGCCAACTGGAGAATGCGCAAAGCAAGAGCGGCGTTCGTCGTGGGCAAATTCACAAATCTAGAGAAGCATAAAACTCGGAATATTCTCCGTATGCGTGGAGTCGACGCTGCTGTATGGTTGCGAAACATGGCTGGGCTCGTACTTGATCACTCAAAGACTCCAAGCATTCATAAACAAGTGCCTACGAATCATTTACTAAATATTCGGCCTCAAAACGATAAGCAACCAAGGACTATTATAAGGAGATTAACAAAAGCGAATCTCATACTGAAGCAACTAAAGCGGAAGACAACAGACAGCATTACGTGGATGTCACGTGACTGGAGTCCGCAAGTGCAAAAGTCGAGGCCGAACAAAGATAACGCGGAGAATGTCGTTACTGACCGCAGCCCTTAATTGTGTGAGATGGCGTAATCTTGTTGATGCCATATGCGCCAGGAACGAGTAAAAAAGGATATAGTTTGATGTATGTCGTATACACACAGATAGAAAATACAACAACTGAATTTCTACTCACCCACATCGAGTTCCCACTCATGACTGCGTTGATTATCCTCATATTCAAACGTGAATATAGACTTTTGAGCTGATGCATTCCTTATCAAAAGCAATGTTGTCTGCTCATCGACTTCCTGAAATTGTAGAAATGTAAAAAATTATTATAAAAACAAACGATATGTTATATATTATATTTATAATATGTTAAATATAATGTTATATGTATGCGAAGCAATTATACTTGTATACATAGAAATGGACTATACGAGGATCTGGCAAGGAAGAGTGTCAGTGACTTTGCACGAATCAAATGCAGTTAGCTAGAATTCAAAATGTTCTAAATTCGCCTTAAACGGAGTGTCGATTGTCTAGCGGTTGGCTTGAGTGATAGACGCATAAATCTAAACAAGAACACATGTGACTTACATACATATTAATATGTCAAAAACAAACGTTCGCACAACGAGTGCAGATCGCAGGGAAAATGTAACTCGTCAAAAGTGTACACGATTGACAAGCGTATCAAACATTTGGGGCGCTTGCGCCATGTAGCGAACGGTATTATCCGCCGACGCGCACGGTCAATTGCCAGCAAGTCTTAATTAAATCAATCAACGAGACACAAGTATGTAAATGCGGCACCGGCGATAACAGATTCGCGCGAAAAAGTCAATCTATATACATACTTGTATGTATAATATGTTGAAGACGCAGTCGTAAATTGTATTTAGGGAACGTGAGAATTCAAAATGCTTCACGTAAAAACCGATTTCATGGATTTCACAAATGCTACCGGGCAAACGTGAAGACGATAGGGAAAAGAAGCCAACAAGCAAAATACTAGTAATATAAATAAAGTTATTACAATTCTTGTTATTTGCTATTAGTTGGTGGCTTTAAGCTATAGCCAGCAGAAGTAGAGTCTAGCATATACCATGTATACAGTAAGTTTGCATTACCAGTACCGGTAAGGCGCAAACGTGTGACGTGCACTGCGCGTCACTAAGATAAGTCTTCACATGATCGTTTGGCATTCATCTTCATCATACGGTTGTACGTCAGCAGATGCGGAGCTGAAGAGTACTGAAGATCAACCGATAATATAATAAAAGCGGATATTTTGCAACCCCAATGTTATCGAGTATATTAAGAGATTGATAGCATAGAAAACTTAATCCAAAAACAAAAGTAACTACTTCGACAGCGGAGTAATCGAGTCAGATTCGAGGAAATAAATATATTTCAACAGCAAGTGCCTCTATAAAATTTTCTTTGGAAGTTATTAGATATATGATGGATAATGATTTTTAAAGAATTTAAATTCTTTCAAGGAGAAAGCTTATCTGATATTTAATCAAGATTTCGTGAGATTTCTTCTTTAGCTCTAGATATTAAGCTTATTCAAAAGATAACAATTCGAATTAGGTGGTAGAGTCGGTGAGAAAAAATTTTTACAAAGCCTTCTCAGATATATTTACCAGGTGATGATCGAAAAATAAGTTTTTGTTAATAATTTCGATTTTTTAAGCCACTCTGAAATGTTAATTTTTTCACAAAAACGACTTTTTTTAGCAAAATTAAAATTTTGATTAGTACTTCGATCGTTGCCTGCATTCATCTATTGTAATAACAACAGTTTTTTTTTGGTTTTTGAATTTGAGATAATTTTCAGTAGAAAAATCTTCCTAACCGCCCGACAACTTAATTCGGAGGTCTTCGTGGAGATCAGCTACGGATCAAGGGAATCTAAAAATGCCTCTTAAAATATGCACAAAAAATACGTTTTTTCTGGCTTGCAAATGGATATAACCCATTTAATAAACATTTACCTGACTGCTAGTGTACCTTTTATATGCACACTTATGTATTTCTGCGCATGTGGAAGCATCGCAGGTGATGTGTGTAGTATGCAACCTGAAACTCTTTAAATCAGGAAAAACAAACATGTTTGTATGTATGTATTTATTTGCATTTTTTACTTTGAGGTGCACCGCTGTATGCGTGTGTGTGATTCTTGTTGTTGGCTATATACGATACATATATCTATATATATATTCCTTATTATGTTCTACTCTTAATTTTGTTCCACCAAATACTCCGCTTTTGGTCGGTTCAAGTATTGTTGACTCAATGTGCAAACAATACTGAGAATATCACATACCACAAACTTACATGCATACCAACGATATATGAGTTGGAGATGTGCAATGCATAAGCAACAATGTTTGCAACATATTGCTAATGGTATTCAGTGGAGGACGTTCAATGCCCACTACTGTTCAGCTCGGCCAGCACTCATTTAGATGTATGAGTGTATCTACATATGTAAAAGCTCTTTTAGCCATGGCCGGATCAACGCTGATGGGGGCCCAAGGCAATGGCTGTCCCGCGGAACAATTCATTTTAAGGCACTGGAGAGAAGAGAATATAATTTATCGTCTTATCGAGAGGCTACTGCTATTAGCTATATTTCGAACCCACCAATTATCGGACACATGCTCAATAAAGAAATTTCTTCACTATCTAGTTAGCCGCCATGGGACCGAAGTGATCAGATTTTCAAATTATTTTCGTGAACATATTTCTTAAATATATTTTATAAAAGATTAAACATTTCATAATTTAGAACCTAGAAAGCAAAAAAGGTTAAAAAGAGCAAGCACATATAAGAAAAATAGATTTGGCTCCCGCTTAAATTTACTCAAACAGCACTGAAAGTAAAATTGGAGACTTTTTATCACTAGGTACATACTATATAACTCTCCCAAATCTCTACTGGTTAATTCTTTAGATAATTTTTTGGATGCCTTGGGTCAACGACTTATTTAAGCGCAGAATGCTCTAAACAATTTTGAAATAAAAACTCTTCAAAAAGAACTTTTTTAGAGGGGCGCCCAGTTATCCAACCCGCCTATAGTGTGATACGTTCCAGCTTTCTTTGTAGTATGCACTTGCAGCGTTTGTCTCGCATGGGTTGTGTGATAAAGCAAAACTTGCTGCGCCACTACTCAGCCCTCTGTAAAATCCATACATTTTATGGGGTTTTTTCCATGCAACCATGTGTGTGTGTATGCATGTAAATGTGTGTGTATAGGTTGGTTAATGTTTTTGTTTTGAAAGTTGACATTATGCCAACATCGGTTGTTGCTAAATCAGTTACTACTTCGCTTGACGGATTGCTGTTGAACAGCAATCAGTCGTGTCGACATTACATTTGTAAGAATCGGGAGTATTAAACTTATTATTGTTAAATTAATGTATGTATCTACATATATGCTTCTTATATATGTACTTACAATTTGATTGAATTTTTCGTCTCTATAATCACTGTAATTTCGAGGCAATATTCGACTGGAATAACCGATGTTGTTGATGTTGCTGTCATGGACAAAAACAAGTGCGGCGTCATCACCGGTTCCAATTTGTATTTGCTCCGGCGATGTTAAGTCTGGTGCTGCTAAAAACAAATATTAGATGAAATAATTATATTTTGAACACAAGACTAAAGCTTTTATCATAAAAGAATAGAGCGGGGTGGATAATTTTTGAAAGCAAAAAAATTATAGTAGGCTGAAACATATTGAAAATTAAGGATAAAATAGCAAAAGTTAAAGGAAAAATAATTTACGGGCGATCTGAGGCCCGTAAGAAGGGTGGGATAGGCTCGGTTGAATTTTTAAGGGCCAACAACGGATTCTTTTGATTTCCACCAATCTATCGTTCGTTTCAATCTACCATGAATTTCTTTCACTTTTTACCATTTTCAAAGACTTCTGCACTTATCTACAAAACAAGAATTGAACTTAGAAAGAGGCATACAAATGGTAAGTATATGGAAGTACACTTGATCTCCTTTTTGCATAGTTAATTGGATCAGTAAATTACCCATGAAATAAAAACCGTGCAAAAAAATTGTTTTTCATATAAAACTCACTATTAGCACCAATTTAAACGTGTAATAGATCTCATTTTACATGTAAATCTATTTATTCGTACAGTGAGAATTTACACAATTAAAACAGATTTTCATGGTATTATGTAAAATAAGTATGTATCACTGTTAAAAGGAACAAACCAAAAATATTCTCGGAATGGTAAAAAAATAATAATAAATTTCAAAGTTCATATAAATAAATTGCGTTTATGATTTTAAAAAATCCGTCATTAATCACTGTCTTCTTTGCCTTTACTTATTCATACAGCTCACGGTAGCATTCTACTGCTTCATTTAATTTGCGCTGAAATCTTCCAGACTGTTCTGTGTTTAGGTCCAAGTTGAGGAAATCATTTCCTAGTCCTGTCCACAATTTAGCAAATTTTGGATCAAAGTTGCACTAAGGCTAGCAGCGCTGGAATGTTCTTTCCTTTCCTCATTCTCTTTGTTGTCATTGGCATCGTTTTTATAAAAATTTTGCAAAATCTCATCATCAGAAATAGCAAATTTGCGAAACATACATTGATATTTTCAATGCTTATATCGTGAAATCATTCTCATCCGATCGTGTAGGAAACTTGAAAATATCAGATGATCAGATATTCTCAGACCACATTACCGCGACATCCACCCACAGGTTTTTCCAGCACCTACTTATTCTTTGAACGCGGATACTCTCGCAAACTCAGGCACAAAATGATTTAAGAACTAGTTCTTAAAAAGTGAAGCTGTTATCTAAGCCTTTTTATTTGTCATCCAATGCACCGGAAGCTTGGCTTTGCCGATACCTGAGAAACGAATTATCGAACTAAAATACATACCAGTGTTTAAAACAAAACATTCTAACCTTATTAAAGCCCAAGGGTTAAGATTTTCGTTAACAAGAAGAGGCTTCAACATTTTGTCTCCTGATGCGTTGCTACTTAACAACAATATGACACGCTCCTTTGCTGCTTTAAAACCTTTCGCAGACTTTAGTTTTCTTTGTCACATAAATCCGAGTAGGCATTTTTTTCCAAATAAGTTTCGTCTCATCCGCATTGAATACTTGATGAGCCTCATAACCTCTCAACGTGATTGTTTCTAGAAACATTTTGGGAAACTCTCTTGTTGCATCTTCATCTGCTAAGGCTGCTTCTCCTCTAATTTTCACATAGTGAATTTTTTCTTAACCAGCCATTACTGGTATGACAATGAAATCGCATGGCATCCACTAAAGTGGAAGACTCTTCACTTTTTAATGTGCTATAAAACTGCTGCATCTTGGCTTTTATAGATCTGCTATTCACAGGAATCTTTTTTATACGTGATCTTCCATCCAATACAATCCTCGTATAAAAGGGCATGCTCTGCTTTAACAACCTTGTAAAAAAAACCGTACAAAAAAGAGATCAAGCGTACTCGTACATAATTGACGCTTACACATCACTTTATACAGGCAGGCTGATAAGCTGTAGTTGTTGGAAAATTCGCATTTTTACTGACGAAATCGCTGGGGTTTGACCTCATTTGATAAAGAAGAAGAAAGTTGTGCTTTATCAACACAATGCAAATTGGATGCTTAAATCTCATGAAAGTGTTCGCGGGAAAGAAATTTAGCGGCAACGAAGGGGTAATCGCCGAGACTGTGACTTATTTTTGAAGCAAAAGCAAATTGTACAACAAAAATCATATCATTAAGGAAGGTCGCTAAGCACGGTGTTCATTTCATATTAGTTCATTTTCAGAAATATCTGAAATGTGATGATGCAGAAATTTCCGAAAATATTTCGGGTTGTTCAGGGTCCACATTGTGCTAAAATATTTCAATTTCAGTTTCTACGAATCTGCATAGAATTTGATTTCGTTGACAAAAAATAATAACAATAACAATAATAACAAGTAAGGAAGGGCTAAGTTCGGATGTAACCGAACATTTTATACTCTCGCAAAGTCAAATGGTATACTCGTTTGAGATTTCTTTGTGGATTGACTGATATTTTCAGTGGTAGGTCAACTATAGGCACTGGGGTCCACATATTCATTACCTAGGGGCTTGAACAGTTTTGACTCGATTTAGAAAATTTTTGGTCACAAGGTGGCATACTTGAAACGCATTACTCACGCAAAGTTTTACCCCGATACAATCATTTTTGCTTGATATGCATAGTGGAAAGTGAAAGATTCAGATGGAATTGAAAATGGTGTTATATGGGAAATAGGCGTGATTGTAGTCCGATTTATATGAAAAGATAGAAATATGAAAAAAACGTTATGCACCGAATTTGATTTTGAACGCGGTTTGTATAAAGTCATCTGATACCATCCCAGAGATATAATTTAAAGTCTCTGGCGTGTTTAGTGCTTGATTAATCGCATTCCATTTTCACATTCCATTTTCACACTGTAGGTAGAGGTTCTAAAAACATTTGCTTCCAGTGAATTTTGTTATAATAGCATTAGTGGTATAGGAGATATGTACATTAAACTTATTAGGGGCGGGACCACGCCTACTTTAAAAAAAAAATTTTAACTGCAGATGCCCCTCCCTAATGTGATCCTGTGTACCAAATAACAGTCTTGTTGATTAATGGCGTTTTGTGGGCGTGGCAGTGGTCCGATTACGCCCATCTGCAATACCAACCGTCTTACTGTACCAAGAAACATGTGTACCAAGAGTCATAAAGATATCTCAATTTTTACTCAAGTTACAGCTTGCACGGACGGACGGACAGACGGTCACCCGGATTTCAACTCGTCTCTTCATCCTGATCATTTATATATACATAACCCTATATCTAACTCGATTAATTTTAGGTGATACAAACAACCGTTAGGTGAACAAAACTATTATACTCTGTAGCAACATGTTGCGAGATTAAAAAAAAATTAATGAAGATAAGGAACACTAGCTAGTACGTACATAACATACATATATACGATTTTGAACATAAACTATGTATTATTAAAGCTTTTAATTGTACTCAAAATTAGCAGTTGCAAAGTAATGTGCGATTTATTTCCAAAAAAATATACAACGCTATAACCTTTTCTGATTATTATATTCTAAAAATATATATTTTTTTTATGAATTCTCTGAAATCGCATTTGGAATTCCAGCTGACAAGCGATTCAGAGCCTAAGCTGATACATCTGGGAAGAAGTGGAAATATTATGCTTAATGTAGATACCATGTCATGCTACTTCGCTTGAAATCTCTTATTCTTTTAGCAGACCATATCTTTTAGTGACCAATGTAGAGCACAATACTCTACATTTTCGAATGGAAGCATAAAGCGAAAAATAAAAAAATAAGCTGTTCATAGTTTTGACTAACAAAGATATTAACAGAAAGTTTGAAGACCTTTTCTTTGTAGTTACAAAACAAATCTACAAGACAAGCAATCAATTGAAATTCAGCGATTTTTTTAAGGAACTAATATATTATTTTTTTTTAACACCTAACATATCGAAGCGGCTTTTGAAATTTCAGAAAGAAATACTTTAATACATTTCTAATGCATTAAATTTCTCGATCGTTTAGTGATATATCTTCCTGATAATTATGATAGTTTAAAAGAGTTGTATTTCGTAAAACTAAAAATATTTAGGTACTTACCAATTTTCAGCATCGTTTCGCTCAATATTTTCGCACCTTGCATGCATCGGTAGGTACCGTTTCGTTCTATACCTTTTAAGAGCAGCAACGCATAATGATTTGCAATCTGGAAAAATTATTTTTAAAATTTGTACAAAGCAAAACTAAAATGCTTAAAATCGACTTACCTCATTGTTAATATGCAGTGGTTTTTTTTCTATATTTTCTATAACTTCATGAAACCATGTTTGTGATGGATCGGATGTTTTACATATTATAACTGCGTTGCCATTGTAACCCACTCTGATGCTACGTCTGACAAACTCTGCAAAATAAATAAGAGAGTAACATAACAGGTCTTACTAAAATGTAATAGAAATAAATTTACTAACAAATAAAAATATTAATATAGAATTGAACACATTGATTAGACAAATATTTGGTATGCCAGTGACAAAAAGGTTCCTACATATTTGCCTTTTGAAGTCAATCATCATCAACCTATAGATATGCCCTGATCAAATATGACCCGGACTGGTCCATTTAAAGCGTGTGCGCGCAAACCGAATAGACTTTTTTTCGGTACAACCTTTTTTATGTTCGTGTGAAATTCGATCTCCATATGCAAATTGGTGTGTGTTTGGGAGCGATTTGATTATGACCCCAAAAGTTTATCTGCCGATTTTCACCATTAAAAAAAAATTGCCTGAAATTCTATGTTTTTCGATAAAGTCAAACCTAATCAGTTTATATGAAACCGTAGGAAGCTATTACCTCTCAATTGACCGATGAAAACCGCATATGGGAATATGTGAAAGCTGTAGTTTGTATGTATGTACATATATATTTCTTTACGATAAAAAGCCTAATACTCATACATTCGAAACGAGGAGAGTTTTATTTACAAAAAATCTGGTTTATAAAGGAACTTTGTCAAGATTAATTCCTTTCGACTACGAAATATGGTATACTTTGTTTAACAATTCTCTTCAACAAGTTTTATTTTTGCTGTTACATAAGTCACAAACTATTGATCTCAAGAATTTTCCTAAAACACCTCGCTGACTCGTAACAGATTTCTAAGATTGCTTCGTCTGAAATTTCTTCATAGCAGAGCGTAAGTCATTTAGTTGAAGTCAAATTATAAAGATTTTTAACGTTAAATCTATAATAGCTTCTCGAATTAGTCTCTCCCATAGTTATCACATGCTCCAACATAATTTACAATAATTTGCGTCTAACTTAGTTGCTTTCCAATTAAATGTTTAAATCTAAAGCTTTCGCGGTTAACTTGTAACTGCGAAGTGAATGTGATTCGCTTATAACTCTTTCATACGAACGAAAATTTCCACCAAATTCACAAGATGATTAATTGAAGATTACCTACCGCAACAGTAACAAATATAAAAAAAATAAAACTAAGTAAAATATGTTACCCTGTTCTTTGGGGCACTTCTTTCGTTGCTCGAGGCGACACACACGGCTCGCAATAACAGATTTCCACGATTGTTAACCATGAGGGTTTAATTTTGAGTCTAATTGTGTTTGTAAATATTGACTGTAAGCAAGTCTGTACATACATATTTTTCATTTTCTTTTTGTAAACAATAAACCTCAAGAATTTAGTAAAATTAGCCTCTTCCAGAGTATCAATAACATCAGTTCACAAAATACATTAAGTGATGAAATGCGCAAGCTCGACTAGGTGAGCAATTATATTTAAATATATGTTTGCAAATGATTTTTTTCAAAGAATTTGTAATTTTTGGAAAAAATATAATTAAAGCCAAGTTTTAATTTCCAAAGATCCGGTTTTATGCGAAATAATTTATCACAACACTCACTAATTGAATTAGTTTTACATTTCTGTTCGTCTTTCAAAATTAGATACATATGTATGTATGTATTGTATATTTATGCAAAAGTACTCGGCATTGAAAAGAAAAATTTTATTTTATATTTTCAAAGTTTAAC